GTTGTATCAGATATCTGCATGAGTTTGTAAGCAACTGCACCGGATTATTGACTGCGAATAGGAATAATATAGTCTGGTCAGTAAACGCTATCACATTGGTAGTACAGTGTAATTCACCGCTGGGTCGTAAGTTGAGCCTGGATTGTGATGATCTCATGTGGCAGAAGCGGAAAAACGGCGTTATACGTCAATGTAATTAAAAACTTGTTTGCTCATGTTTCCTAAAAACCGAAAATTGGGGCATAATTTTTAACCAAGTTGTGGCGCGGTAGAAGCTATCAGTAAGCTTGATGTGTCCCACACAAGACGGTTGAAATCTCACTTTCTCATATTATGCTTTTTGCATACTCGGCTACGCTGCTAGCTTAGCTGAAAAGAGAACAAGACCTTCTTTCGTCACTATTGGGCCTCCAGACTTTATGCACATGCATTTTGGACCGTTTCGTGTACCGTTTCTACTAATTTATTAGTTCTTCGCGTGGTTTTTTTTTACCGTACTGCGAATACGTATTTGCAGGATGCACAGTCTTCTAAAATAACAGCAGAGGCTGAAGAACTTCAGAAGGATGCATCATCGAGCGGTTCGGATTTCGAAACAATTGAAGGAGAACTTGATCGCGACATAAAAGAAAGAGACGCGCTGGCTGCAAGAATCAGAAAACGCGAAAAAGAGAAGACTAGAAACGTACTCGAGCAGAAAAGGAAGATACCGGATAACAAGGTGCATTGAGCTAAATCATAATTTGCTCTCGTTTATACCATATTTCTGATATTATTTACAGGAAAAGGAGGGTTTTACTATTGAAAAATTGCGGGAGGAGTCAAGAAGATTGTATCTTGCCAAAAGAAAAGATGATAAGCTAGATGAATTGCGTCATGTGGTTATGGACGATGAGACTTTATTTGCCCATGAGGAGTGAGTGTTTAGCAGTTTTTATAATGCCCCTGTTATTTTTTCTTTCAGGCTTACGGAAAAGGAACGCAAAGATATGGAATATCGCAAAAAAGTGCTTGAATATGCTGAGCAGCATGAGAAAGCTGCGGATATCATGAAGACTAAGCGTTATTACGTTCCTGATGCTAAAGTTAGATCAGTTCCTACGGAGTACATTGAGGAACCGGAAGAGTATCGTCATGGAGGTACGGTTTTTAGGCATCTATCTTTGCTTCGTGCTCAGTGTTCCAAGTCTAATATGCGAAACCTTTTCCTAGCTAAGCACTCACGTATTTAATTTCTTTAGCTGTTTGAGTAATGGCATAATCTCGGCTGCCCGCTTGCAATTTCTTATACTTTGCCATATAGCCAATGTAGTGCTAGTTCTGTTCTGGTATTTCATTATGCTACAAGACATTATGTCTATCAACTGAGAACCTGCTGAATGCCAAGTTTTAGGGTGCGTATTATAAGATACCCAGTGCTCTCTCGGACGAGAGGCGCCAAACAGTTAGATTCGCTGTAATCGATGAAATCCAGCGCGATCGAGCCTGACGCCGAGCGCATCTCAGGTCCCACCCGCTTCCTGCTCTTAAGACGCCTATTGCCTGCTTTTACGAAGCCTATTGCGGCCGCTATCTCGGCGCCGCCGAGAAACTGCAGTTTGGCGTCTCGTCGTCAGAAATTTGCACTGCAAACTGCCCAATAAAGAGTACGATTGGATGTTTTGACGTTCTTGGAACCCTTATAAAAGGATTCATATATTTTATACATAACTTTCAGAAATTTAAGCAAAAATAAACTCCAAATTTTGTAAATAGAGGTAATCCGAGTTGATGCGAAATAGGAGATACAGAGGAGTAAATTCACAGTAAGTGTTTATTTCGCTCAAAGGGCAAACTGGTACAATTTTGATTTTGATATCTATCATTTTTTCTAAACTACGCAAAGTCATTATAGCTGTCTATAAAACAATAAAATCTGCATGAACCTTGCGTTAATATATCATGCAACAAATGCGAAATGCAAAAAAAATATCCAAATTTATCAAAACTTTTAGTCTCCATATTTGCCGATAAGTTGTCTTACCTATAGATTTGAAAAGCAGTAAAATGAACTGGGGTGCTGAAACGTGGCAAGGTAGTATTATGCGGAGCAGCTAGGCCTTGGTCATTGCCTGAGGATGGACTGCCACAAAACAGTTGACCTTTATACCGTCAACAACTGATGACGTGCATGAAATATCCGAAGAAACATAAGTTTCTAATTTTCTATTATAAGAGTTATTTTTTTAATATAAAGTTGTATAAAGCTCAACTGTTTTTGCTCAAATTTCTGGAAGTTATGTAAAAATATTTCCTTTTATAAGAGTTCTAAGAACGTTGAAACGGGCCTTAGTTTGCAGTGCAATTAATGACGAAGAGACACCAAATTAAATTTCTCGGCGGCGCTAGATAGCGCCGCAACATGACGTAGCCGTTGTAGGAGCAAGAAGCGGATGGGGCCTGAGACGCGTTCGGCGTCAGGCTGCATTTCATCGGGTGGCGGACTTTATGAACGATAGCTATTGCCAGCCGGCAGGTTGGGACCGCTCCGTGCGTTGCTCGATAGGCGAGCTCTTTTTACACTAGTACTACTTTCTTAAAGCTTGTAAAGCCTAAGAGGAAAATTGTAAAAGCTAAAACAACAAATATTTCAGCAAAGAAATCCGATTTCCTCAGATATTCTATAGGTTTTCTTAAGCTTACATGGATTTCCTTGAGTTTAAATAGTTTTGTAGGAAGATATTCTGCACTATCCTGCAGTAATGTGTATTTGTTTTAGAAATTTCCCCAATGTTCACTTTTGAACTAAATCGACTTTTACAGTTTAATTTAAACTTGTGTATAAGTTTCCATCTTTGCTCAGTAGAGGATTATTAAAATAGTGCTCTTAATTTTAGTGATAAACGACAATAGGTTGAAAGCACGGTAAACTTTGCAGAAGTTAGGTACAATTACGCCCACTGCGCTTGTCAATTGGAGCTATCGTTCATAATGTCATACACATCATTTCATCGATCTAACTGTCTGGCGCTCTCTCGCCCGAGAGAGCACGGGTCATCTAACGCACGCCCCCCCCCCCCCCCCCCCCCCCCCCCCCCCCCC